TGCATACGCAGCTAGAGCCATCTAGACGTGAACAGTGGCTTTCAATGCAACCCTCTAATAGTTGTGATGTCCGGCTGATAGACTTTATATAGGATGTCCCAGAATGGCCGCCGAATATTTTGTGCGTAGGTAGAGCGGACTAAACTGAGTCGAAAAGTTCTCTACCATGTTGTAATTTTCGTAATAGTTAACAAAATATTAATACTAAAAGTCATCAAATAATGGTTTTAATAATTTTTACTCAAGTACTATCAACTTTACAAAAAAACAGCAAGAGATAAAGATTGTTCATTTTCTTCTTATAAAGCTCTAAGAATTTTTCCAGAATTTTTTATCAATCTTTTGGTACTACATTTTCTTATAGGTAACTATTTTTACTAACATGAGAAAATGCGGTATTTAAAAATTTCGAAAAAATTCTCAGAACTTCATAAGAAGAAAATAAACAATTTTTGTCTCTTGCTGTTTTTCTATACAGTTGATAGTACTTAGTAAAAAATTATTAAAAACCAATATTTAATTAATATTTTTAATTATTTATAATTTTTAATTATTTCTTCCTATTTAAAATCAAATCTTGAATTTTAGAACAGATAAAAAAATGTTTATATGTCTAAGATTTATAAATTTTAAAATGAAGGTAAGAAAATAATTTTATAAATTATAATATTAAAGCATTTTTGTGTTTTAGATATATTTCTAAAATCTTAAAGATGAATAGATATCACTGAGAAATCGATTTAGTTGAATTAATATTCTTATTTGAATATGGACAAATAGTTATTGATTAATGCAATAAAATAACTTAGTAGAAGCAAAATATTTGAATATTTGTAACATTTTACTCATTTTTGAACAAGTTCATCATATGTTAATGTTTATCAGAAACAATTAAAATATTACAATAACCAATTTGCTTTAACTAAAACATTTTATTACATTAACGAAAGATTTGTTAGTCCATATCCAAACAAGAGATTAATTGATTTAACTAAACGGATTTCTTAATGTATTGTATAATAGTAAAATAAATTGGATATCGATTGACATAACGCTAAATGTAACTCTCTTATTATCCAGTCATGTTTATAACGATTTTTTAAAAACATTACTTTCATCAGAAATATATTGTTACCATGCATGGAGGTGGCACTTCGCCCGATGATAGAAAATGCCATGTCAATCGAATTTCCAGGCATATGTCAATGCTTTCAGCTCGACATTAACGGTCTCCTTTATCTCATGTGCTTATTAAATATGATGTACATTGATCCGCTTATTATCATAGCGCACGTTACTTCCATCAATCCATGACAATTTTCGCGGACAATGAATTTTGTCGTCTCTCCTACGTTTCCGTTAATCTTTGTCAAAATAGTGCATGTTAATTTTCTTTTTAACGAACGTTATTTGCAGGAAAAATGTAAAAAAGAGAATAGAAGGGGAAGAAAACTTCGAGTTATTTTGAGTACACGAGAATATATGATAGGTCGATTATTTCCAGGATGACACTGCACTTCTTCCTGTCTCTTTTTATATAGCCGGATTTTTGAGCCAAGGCAGGGAATAAGAGAGATAAAGTTAGATCCGATTGTAAAACCCACATTATTTTTATACGTTTACACGAGGTCACGGTTTTTATCAAGATTGAACCAGTACGTCATAGACTACTACCTGTATCGAACTGTGCGAAGGAATAAATAGATTGATTTTTATCGGTCTATTTACCAGCACGTACTTCATATTGTGCTACGTCAGTTATGTTTTCAATTTTAAAAGTTTAATACTGACTAATTAGATTTTCTCGCATTATTTATATACAAATTCAAAATCTGCAATAGTAAATGTTGAGAAAATGTTAGAAAATGTTAATTTGCTCGTGTGATAAAAAATTATATATGATCTATAATAAATATTTAGAAATTATTTTTTTGATAAATTTAAAGTTTTATGCACTTATAATAGAAAAACAGTCACTTTAATGTCGAGACTTTATACATATTAAAATGATAATTATATTTCATATTTATTTTTTTTTATAGATAAAGATTGTTTTTAAGATTTATAACGGAAACACTTTATGACTAATAATAATAAAAATTAAATGCATGATTAGTAAAGTTTGATAAAAATCTTAGTCAAAATGATCATGCAAATATTGTCAAAAATTAAATAGTTGTTTCAGCAATTATCGTCAAATAATTTTTGCTAAGAAAAACATGTCCATATTTATTAACAAATCTATTGTACAGTTGAACAACTGTCAGAATATCTTATATTTCTCATCATCCAACCATAATGACAAAATATTTCAACTATATATGAAATTTCAAGTAAACATTGATCGACACGTATACAGTTTAAATTTTATTTCCGCTTCGTAAACTTGCGACAGCGCAATGTTAAAGAAATTGCAACTTTAGATTTTGCCGTGCATTAAAGCGCGACGTGCTATACCTTCTCCGTGGTCGATAAATCATTTTGTAAAAAGCTTAAATGGCGATGCCTTCGTTAATATACCATTCACAAAGTACATGGCACAGGAAATCTTATTCCATTTTGAACGTAAACTGATTTTACAACAATAGTCGAGTCCCATATACATTCATTTTTTACTATACTATACATCTATGTGTCTATGTATATGCTCTACGCAAAAAATATTGCCCGTGATATGATCGATACGACTTTTCGTTGACAGATCAAAGAGTTCGAAAAATGAGGAACAACTTATCGTTCACAGTTTATGAAATTTCAAATTTAGTATCCTCGTCCCACCTAATGAATAGAATTCTATTACTTAAGAGCAGCAATGCTGCGAAATGATAGACATAATTCATATGTACAATTTTGATAACTATCAAATTTGTATACAGAATGCACTAAAATCCTTGATTTTAATTACAGATTATTTTAAAATTTTCAATCATTTGAATTTAAATATATTGCAGCTATTTAAGAGGCTTCTAAAGTGTAAACCGAACTTCGATGAGATCACTGTTTTATTTATTCAATATACCCTTTCGATTTATATATCATGGACACATCACTGCATACTACTATATCAATATTGCATGCACACGCATGCAAAAATTTTCTAAGGCACTAATTTTTTATATTAGATATCTAAGCCTAATGCTAAGAACTCAACATTGTTCATATAATGCAGTCCAAACCGTTTTTGTACAAACATAGTACACAATTTTTACATGAAACAAACACTTGCATAAGTTGCTCTAGTCACAATTTTGGACTAAAAACGAGTAAAACAGATCTAATAAATTTCTTAAACATTTTTCATTTTCGGCATAAAATCGAACAATTTTGATTGTGTTATTGTTTATATTTTAATTGTAAGGATTTTCAAATCTGATAAAGACAGTTAAAAAAATAATGTCTGGAAAAATAATTGTATTCAGTTGGTAAAACGTTGGGTTTTAGGATCCCCTTTGAAAATAAAAATTGTAAATAAAAAAGTAAAATTTAATGAAATATTTACAATCTTTACAAGAGAAATCTTTTCAAATTACTACGTTCCTTTAATAAAAATATATAAATACCTAGGAATTATAAATTTTTAATAATATAATTGTTTAACAATTACAAAAAAGATGCTCTGTAATGATTGTTGTTTTTATGTTACATTTGATACTTGTAATGCTTTAAAAATAATTGGTTTGTCAAAACAAAATTATTTTAAAAATAGTAAAAATCCTTATTTATCGAGAAATATTTAATAAAAATAAAGATAAGTATTCTGGAATGTTTTATATCCGCATTCAATACATATAGATATAGGAAAAAAATTTTCTAATAGAAATCGACGATTAAAAATTGCTGCGTAGTTAAAATTCAATTAAAAAGCGTTTTTATTTTGAATTTGTGCACACTATCTGGACTTGGTTATTAAAATTTCAATTACAGTTGTAACTGAAATGTGTTCTGGTATACCATTACGTTTATCATCATCAATTTGGCGATAAAACTGCCATAGAGAAATACGTATTCTCTTTAATTCGTATTGGAACACATAATCTTGTTGCCGATTAGCTATCCATCGGATATCGGTATCCACCGCGATGTTTCCGTTCATCCTCGACATTCAAGCTGACGAGGCGCACACGTAAAAAATCGATAGCTGCCTCGATTTAATATAACACACCGTGTCGCTACGTGCGTCCTTCCACGCTCGAAAGAGGAATCTGACTTCCTCGTCCAGCGCGGCAGCAGAAATTGCTTCATTGAAGCTTCAGGAAGATTAACAACTACAGTTAATTTGTTAAAATTAATTTGTTAGACTGCAAATCAACTGACAATCTAACTAGTATAATAAATTCACTATTAACAACGATTGTGATCAGTATTAATTAAATTATTAATTTTAATATAAACCACTGTCTCGATTATCTTCAATTAACCAGAGATTAGCGGATCATCGACCCAATGATCAAATTAATATGAACTTAATTATATTATCTGTTACTATCTCCGATTAACACGATTAATTGTTGAATAATAAAAACATAATAGCTATCGTCAATTTTAGTGAATTAGTTTGCTAATAATTGTCATCATTACTACATGATGACGATCAATCCGAGAAACGTCACAATTTCTACACAGCACGTCTCGACACATCTCAACACGACGGTTTATCGCGCTCTACAGCTGCTCTAAAAATTGCTAATAGAAACGAAAATGCGATAGCGGACCACACAATGATACGGACGAACTCCTAGCCGAGTGAGAAATTTCAGCCGCGTACGAGTTTTCTTCATGGTGCTATTGATCTAGCAGCTTTAAACAAGATTAACCGTTGCCCTAGGCACACTCAATGGTGCACATTTCACAACCTGGGCGTGTCGTTACGCTGTTCGCAGACTGTAAATGGACTTCGGAGCGGCGGCTCTTTCGGCGGTCTCCTATCGAGCGAACTTACAAGCTTAGTCCGAGATGGAGACGCGTATTCACAAAAAGCGAGTATTTCCGTATGAACTAACCTCCTGTTAACCGGTGTGTGGTCGCAATTCTTCAGTCTGTCAAAGTGCCATTCCGCTGAAATATTGACAACTGAGAAAGAACGCAAACGGCACGAGCAACGATGCTACTGGATGCCACGGCGGTATGGTCCGTCGATGTCTGACCAATACGTGCTGTATCCACTTAGAATGTCGTAGATCGAGCGGTGTGCGATGGCGGAACGAAAGTCCGTCTCTCGGGATGAACGTCTCTTCGTGAAGAATCGAAAGAGAGGAGAATGCAAGGATAGGAAGAGATAGAGAGGAGAGAAAAAGCAAGAAATGAAAAATGAGAAAAAGAAAGAGAGGGAGAAAGAGAGGCCGAATGGCGCTCGAAGGAACGAGAAGAGGAATCGTCTGCGAGGATGGAAGCAGTGGACGGACAGACCCTTCGTGATCCGTAAGCTGGCGTGTTCCAACTGCAACCGCTCGACTGCTGTTCTACGTGGTAGGGAGAAGAGGTGGAAGAAGGGGATGTGCAGGGAGTGGGAAAACCGGAGAGGAAGAGGATATTAGTAAAGGAGAAAGAAGAAAAGAGAAAAACAACGAGAAGAAGAAGAATGGAAGAGGAGGAGTGAAAAGGGAGTCAAAGCGAGGGAGAAGGAAGAAATAGTAATGGAAAGAAGAGAAGGAAGATGAAGGGAAAAAAAGAGGTTGCAAAAATGGGAGAGAGAGAGAGAGAGACTGAGAAAGTTGAAAAGCATCGAAGCGAGAGAGTCACAATAATGACCAATTTGGCGCAGCCATCAAGAGGGCACAAAATTTTTAAGGGAGGGAAATATCTACGTTGCGCCTCGGTCAAAGGATGATTGCAGAAGAGGAGCGGCGTTTTATGTTATTAAGTTCACAAAGAGCCAAACTAAAAAGCGCTATCACGGCTGCGATTAGATCAGCGGTGATGAAGAGCATTATGTAACGGACGTTTGTTTTGTGGAAAGGAAAGGAATAGAAGAACGAGAAGAGGGGAATAGAAAAAGAGATGAGAAAGAAATATAATTATTATAATACTTATATAGGATGGAGGATATATCGAGGAATGACGATCTTTTCGTATGAGCTCCGAGCTTTTCAGAAGATAAGACGAAGATGAGATGTTCATGATAACTTCATTTATAGTGGAAATTTAAAGAACTTCAACTCTTAAACATAAAAAAAACGAATTATTAAAAGAACGAATCTTTTTAAACATTAAAGTAAGCATTCTTGTAGATAACATTAAACGACTTAGAGAACATATCCAAATTAAAATTAGAAGGAAGAATTTTTTGTAACTAACACTTTGATACGAAGAAAATCGTACAAAGTAGCACTAAAAGAACATGTCATGCGAATCTTTTATTATTCAAAATCAGAATAAAATTGAAATAAGAATTTGAGACAAAATTAAACGGCGATTGATTGCATACATAAATTTTAAAGTTCCTTTTGAAAAGAAGGAATCAACGAAGGATAATAAAAAAACGCGTAATGCGATATCGAGGGGAAGCTCAAGACAGAGAAAGATAAGAAAAGGGTTGCACAGAAAAGCAGCTAGGATGGAGTAGAAAAGAGCGAACAGGACAAAATGAAATGAGCAAGAAAAGGGATATATATGGATATATATGTGCTCATTCGCAGCTGGATTGCGGAAAAGGCCTTCCTTACATCCCGAAAAGGGTATATGATAAGGACAGATCGTTAGGATGGGAATGGGAGGGGACAAGTGAGGGAAATCAGGACGGAGTGCGCGCGCGAAGTGGCACTAGACCATCGATCGACTACGCGCGATGGTAGCCGCCGTCGCCGTCGCCATCGCCATCGCCGCCGTTGCCGTCGTCGTCGCTGTCGTCGCAACTAAACATTTTGTAGTGCTCGCAGATTCATTGCAGGATTGAGACTTCTCGCGCGGACACGTGCGCGCTTAGAAAGAAAAACAAGAGTAGAACAGCGGCTGCGGTTATGGAGGAATGAAAAAGCATATCGGGACAGAAAGGATAAAAAAGCAAACGAGTCAGTAAAGCATGGTGTAAAAAACAATGTGAGGCATTGCGCATAATGGCAGCATTGGCAATTGAACCAATCAAAAGGCGACCCATTTTGCAGGCGCTCACTTTAAAATGAAATTTGATTACAAGAAATGAAAATGCTTGAATTATGTAAGATTTGATAGAATAATTCCTATTCTATATATGAATACTTTGCGTTGGAAACTGCTCGAAAATGATAGTACATGCAGTCCAGGCAGCTTTCTGAGACAAAAAAACAGCATGACTAGTAGTTTCTGCGGTCTTCTAGGTCAAGTGGCCTAATGAATCAAGAAGTCACCTTAATGCACTTCGTATGTGTGTCGTTACTAATGACTTCTTGGCAATACTTAATTTTAAACGAAGGTATAAAGAACAAATTTTTTTTAATGTGATCCTTTACAGAGAGAATATTATCAATAAAAATACTGATACAATGAGAAATTTAATCGAAAATTTTAAATTTATCTATATGATGTAACGTATTGGCTTATTTAACCGAAACAAGTTGCGTCTATTCTTACCACTTCGCGTGACGCGATATTAAAGAAATACACGTTGCATCGATCGTCTTTCCTTATTTCCATGTACGAGTACATTGACGTTACAAAAAGTTCGGTACATATGTATATTGATCTTGTGTAAAAAAACTGAAGGCCAACTATGTTTGCAAGATCGAAAAACATATTCAAGACTTTACTGATTTTTATTACGTAGATTCTATATAAATTTTGATAAATCTATTTGATTAGATTGAGAATATAATCATAGAAATGTAAAATATTTAAGAAAATCTTGAGAATATTTGATAGGAAATGTATATATATATGTTAGAGTTTTATTAATTTGTTATTAGTATAATATACATCGTATATTTTAAATAAATATTTATATAATTAGATAAATAAATCTTTTCAAGAATGTTTGAAACATTCATCTTTCAAGCGTTTAAAAATTTATTATACATATAATTATAATCTTAAAAGTCATATCAATTTTATTTATTTTATCCATTTGTCAAAATTAACTTATAATTACATAAACACTTTGTATTTCCAATTAAATTCAGTATTTATATCTCTAAAAATGTTCTTTTTTTAACAATAGTAGATCATAGTAATTTATTCGTACTGTTTATAACATGAAATGTCGTTTGCGAAAATTTTTCTGCCGATGTAAATTGTATAATAATATTTGTTATTGAAGATAAACGACGAAGGAAGAGTCTAGGGTGATCCAGAGAGGTCCAGAAAAATTATCTAATTACATTTTATGTGACTTTATAAGAGAAATGCGATTGTATAATTTTCTTTATGCATATATTTATACGGTTGTGCAAGTTTGTGTGAATATAGATTTTTTGTTTCAAAATACAACACAAATTTTCTGCTTTAAAAACATAAATTCTCTGCTTTAAAAACAAATTATTTTTTAATATAATTTTTTGTTTTTACAGCAGAAAATTTGTATTACAAACTCAGATCTACAATAGATTTTTAACTCTTAAGCTATAAAAATGGACGAATTATAGTTAATAATGCTTCTCGCATTTCACTGTAATTGGTCAATTTCTTACGGCTTAAGGCGGGGTCTACAATAGAAGTCGTAGCGATCAGAGGGTCTTAATTCGTAGAAAATTAACCAATATGAGAGAAATAATTGACTGATCAATTTTATACGACTAAGGCCGGAATCAGACTATGCATTGAAGATTGAGATTAAAGATTAAAGATTGAAATTTCATCAATGAGAAAAAAGAAATTTTAGCTTCTTTTGTTATGATTAGTCAAACATCAATCTTTCAATCTTTAATCTCATTCTTCAATACATAGTCTGATTTCGGCCTTAGGGTGCTGTCACATGCGACTTAATTTGCGTAAGCATAACTTGCCAATCAAATCACTTCAACTAGAATAACGCGTAATACCTGATGCAATTTGATACGATTTGATCGGTTGACGCAAGTTAATATGCAAGTTACGCTGCATGTGACAACACCCTTACATTCGACATTAGCAGTGTTTTCGAACATACCCAAAGCAAGTGAATAAATACAATGTGAATAAGTAATGAGAAAATACAAAAATAAAAATTGCGTTTTGTCTTTTTTGCAATTTTTTTCCAAAATGAAGTAAACACAAACATTTCTCTACACCTTTTTTTATCGATCGATCACGCTCCTGAAGTTTTAACATTTAAATTTTAAACACTCTGTATATCAAATGATCCCAATAACACAGATTTCCAAGGGATGTTTCAAAGAACATTCAGAGAATATCCCTATATTCTAATAATTTCCCCAGAATCCCTCAAATAAAGTGTGCTATTAAGGAATATAATTAATTATAGTTAATCCATTTACTTAAGATAGATTAATATAAAATAACCAGATTTTATAGTTTCTCTCTCTCTCTCTCTCTCTCTCTCTCTCTCTCTCTCTTAGATTTGCGATTTCTTTCATTTTATTAACATATTATATATTCTATTTTTGTACATGTGTACTCAATATAACTTAAATGTTATAATTTTTTCTTAAAATCACAACTTATTTAAGTATTTGAAATGTTTCATACTTTTTTAATGTTCAGAAAGGTTCCCTCTTTTGAATTTGACCGTCAGTTTTTAATTTAAGATTCAGTAAAGATTACAAAAAGATCACAAAATTTAAGTAGGCCATATACGATGCAATTATTTGATTTAAAAACAATATTTAAAAATATTACTGAAATCTTGTAAAATAAAGTAATGACGAGATAACATACTTAAAATATCATACTTAAAGTAAATATTATTCCTCTAAAACATTCCTCTAAATATAAACCAGATGATCCAAAAGATTATAAAGAAAAGTATAGTTTTGATGATTTGGTGTATCCAATAAAATCTAAAATTAAATATTTTATCTATAAATAAAAACGAGAAACTTAAATTGGAAAGATTAACCGAAAGTGAGATTTATTACCTTACATATTTCCTCCTACTATCTTTCAACATACTGTCATTTTCATTAAGTTGATAGAGTCGCATGCCTTGATAATAATTAATTAAGTATTCTGTCCAATTAAATTTCATCATGTTAAAGTTAAATAATTGTTGATCTTTCTCATTGAGATTATCCCACATTGATTGAATATTGTCAGTAGAATAACTCCATTCTGTGTTACAAAAAGGTTGGATTGCTTTACTAAATTTGTCTACCTTCATATATAACTTCCACATTCTGAAATATATTGAATATTGTTAAAATTGTTCATATTATTGGTGTAATTTTATTTGATTTAAATCGAAACTATTATGATACATATATTAAGGCCCAGTTCCACAATTCATGGTTAACTCTTAATCAAGGTTCGACTTATTCATTGTTTCTTTCCAATTTTAGAATTAAAAAGAGATGAGAAACGAGTTGTACTTCGGTTAAGAATTAATTATGAGTTGTGGAACTGGGCCTAAATGAGTGTATTCAGTACCATGACTGTTCACTGAATGCTCAATGAGTACTGAATGCCACCCCCATTAAAAGACACAGTATTTATATTTAAGGCCAATGCACGTAAAAATTTTAGTCATAATTATAACAGATTTAAAGGAAATATTATATAGAAATATTATAACAGAGAAACTATCAAGGCTGTATGACTCGGTGGCAGAACGAAAATCTATCAATATTTTCTTGTACAAAAAAAGATTCAGTACCAACTTCATGATGCGAAACATGGATCTCTGTCTAAGGATGTTCATGAGTTTCAAAGGCTACAACTGTGAAACGCGAAACTTGGGTCGGTATTCACAGTTGATTCTTACTGTCGATTCTTACTTTAAAACTGTTTTAAGTACAATCTTAAGAAGTCGTAAGTCAATCCGAGGAATGTATTAATATCTTAAGACATTATATTAAGGTAGTTTTAAAATAAAAACGGACTATGAATACCGCTCCATGTTTCGCGTTTCACAGTTGTAGCTCTTGAAACTCATGAATATCCAGAGACAAAGAAGACAGAGATTTA